GTAGCCATTCACACCAGGGTTGTTATATTGCCACTGTTTTGGTAGCTATTACTGGCCACAAATAGTTACCCACCAATATGATCTGAAACTATGCATATCAACAGAGCTATTTTAGTCTGACGAGGTACTCAAATGAAATAATTAAAACAAATAATTCTATAAATAAAACTATTTTTGTTTATCTTGCAAATTCTTCGTTGCCAGTGCCAAGAAACTACTGTAAAGGGGGTAATTATTCACTGGGTTTTAATTTAGCTTATTTCCCTGACTGGAAAAATGCACTAAATTAAAACACAGTGAATATGTACAATTTAGCATAGAACACATTATCTAAATGACGAAACCGTGAATTTAAAACCCACTGAATATGCCTGAAATGGTAAATCAGTGAAATTTAAACCCAGTGAAAATTAGTCATTTTACAGTATAATAATATAAGGCTATTGAGCTAGACTAGTGTTTGTATATCAGGGATCTCAAGTAAATCATTATTCCAGTTACCAGAGGCCAGTAAAATGAATGTCAGAAGCTGTACATGATACTGGTAATGTGCAAGTAATTATGGAATGAACAGTATCACTAAAATCAGAAATGTAGCTGTCTCCTCATAACCAGCATATCTTTTATCTTATAAATCCAGAGCAATTCTAAAAATAAATCTTTTGAACTCTAAACTAGATATTTCAGTAGCACACATAATGGAATGTTGCCATGGTAATGACCAGCACTGGACTTTGTAATGAAGCATCCAGGTAATAAGTTGGAAATTACCAACAGAAAGGTCACCAAATTTTTTAAATAATTAAAGAGGCAATATGGATGACTACAAGCATGTTCAAATAATTTTTATAGATTATCTTTGTTTGATATGCATGATTGATCAAAATGTTTTGACAGCCAAAAGAAAATAAATGTGCACCACAGATATTAGATATATTTGTGGTGCATATGTGTGGCTAATTTGAAGCATGTATACAGTTTTTTTTTATTCCGTCCATTCAATACTGCTTAGTTTCCTGCTCTCCTAGGGATTTTTTTAAACAAGGGAACAGGGGCGCAGTGCCCTCATGCCATGGCCATGTGCCCCCTTATCCTGGGGAGCAGATCCTCTGACAACCATAAAATTCTGATTGACCAGGGATCACATGTGGCCACAAGTTTTCAACTGTGACCTGTCTGATAGTAATTTTGGCTCCAAGGAAGCCATAATTAACTTAAAATTATCAAAAACTCCACACCCTGGTAGGGAGAACGCCGCTGAATTGCAGTGCTCCCACTTGCATTTTTTTTCTAGAAAAACCCCTGCTAACACAATATTTTTAGATTTATCATACCATATTGTTAGTATTAATATTCAAGTTATCTATATCATAGTACTTCAATTTATGCATGTTTCATTAACGTTGTTCTTTCTATTATTGACCTCAAGTATGCAATTAGAAATTGCATACACTCCTGACAAGTACTTAGAGAAAATCAAGATGTTATATTATTTTTCAATATTTTCTAGTAGCTTGTCATTCCTTTTCATCTGCAGTACCATGTTCTGAGGCAATTACAAACAACCTACGTTACTTTACTAGGTATTTTCTGAGCAGTCTGTATTCACAAAGGAGCCTGTTCACTTTCTATTTAACACACATGTACACCAGGGATTGTACTTGCATGTAAAATGGTACCATATTTACTCTATTAGTAAAGCATGCATTACAGGTGTTTTATGGTAGGTTATGTTTCAGTGATACATGTACCGTAAAATCTGTAATAGAAGCCGCATCCCTAATAGAAGTCGCACCCATCCTTTTTGAATAATTGAGTACCAAAAATTCATCATTTCTCATATGTGTACATGCTCTAATAGAGACTGCATCCCCTCTGTTGAATTGTACCATTTTAATAGAAGCCACAGTTTCTAATACATATTTTACAGTACATTTTATATTATGCAACGATTGTTTATTTTTACAGTCTCTCAGTTTATATGGGCTTCTATTCTAATAGAGCAACTGCAATGTAAGAAAAAAGTAGACTTAGAAATTTCTTAAATGTGTAATTTTGACAATATATTCCAATATTTCAACAAAATATGATATAACAAGCATTTACTTCATATTAGAGTTTTCCCTCAAGTTGGTATTTTTAGCCACCATTTTTAAGCATAATGCTATGGTAAAACACCCTGATTTCACTAATTCAAGATGTCACTAATTTAAAATGAAGTATATTCTCACAATGATATTGTTGATAGCTCAATCAAGATTCTGTTAATTCTTGCTTTGAGCCGAATTTGCAAAAATTGCATGTTGCTTTTTCAACGTGTTTTACAGTATTCAGAAGATATCTATAAATAAAATGGCACCTGGTTTTGACAGATGTTAGACAAAAGTGCTAAATCAGATAAACATTCATCAGACTAGAATAATGTAAATGAAATGTACCAGTTACATACTGGATATAGTATTCCAAGAGGATGTTCAAACACAAAAATAATAAATTTTTCATAATATTAGTGTAAATTGGTAATTAATTTTTATGTGTCAGTTTTAAGGAATTTTTATGATATACAGAAATGTCTGATCGAGTCTATTCACCAAGTGTTCACACCCTGGCGTTGGTGGTACAAACATATTTCAAAATAAATCATTATTTGGGTGAGTGAGTTGTTAAACTCATTGTTTCTGCAGTACTGCAATGGTGCATGTACAGTCTGTACATAGTTTTTTTTATTGTTGCTAAGGGTGATTTGTTAGTCATAAGACTAACTTTAAATATGCACAAAATGGCAGCCAGGCATCCAGTATCAGCGATGCATCAAAATGAGTTACCCCACAACAGTTTCTGGATTTTACAACAAACATTTTATATTGAACCAAGATCATTTGTTTTAAAATACTGTAAAATACTTCATTTTAGCTGGAATTAATTTTCGCTGAAAAGACTTTGAGTGTTTTGTATGGAAAAATGATTTTTGACAAGTTGAATGTAAAATATAGGAAAAAAAGGTATATTTGCTGGATTTTATTTTCACTGAATCATTCCTTTAGTGAAAATTAATTCCAAGTGAAAATAAATTAAAAGTATTTTACAGTAATTTAGCATGGAGTGTACCTAGTTTTATAAACAAGAATGCAAAGAAGGGCAGGTACGTGTAAACATTGAATTAAAAAATGATCATGTGTTCTATATAGCGAGCACATATTGGTCTGCTCGATATTTGTCATACTCCATTATTTATTATGAAGAACAGGTTGAAAGCAACCAACATACATTCAAAGATTTTTATAAAGTGCTGTATCTTTTACTCCCTAGACGTACAAGTTCTAAAACTTAGAGTCTGATATAAATACGAGTGTGAGTCAAAATATGTCACCACAGCAATGAGCGTACTATTACTTTTTTTTTCTGGTTACAATCTTACTAATAACTAATGTCATGCAAGAAAGCAATATACAGGATTATTTATATTTCATCTTAAGTATTGTGCTGACCTAAGCACCTTTGCCTAACAAACTTGGTATGAATTTACAAATTCTGGCAACATGCCAAAGTGAGCTATACCAACCAAAGCTTGACACCACACTGACTTGGCTCATATATTACGCATTTTGATCATCACCTAGATCTAGGATAATTATTTAATTTAAATGGAGAAATCTATCTGTTCCACCTGATGTGATGTTGTAGGAGACTGGCTCGGAATTTTTGCTGTATTTTCCTCGGGAAAACCATGGCAGTTATTCCGCATATAACCATACATGTATTAACCAAAAGCTCTCTTTGAATGACAAGATAATTTTTTTCAATCCTTCACTAAATAAAAAAGGAAAAATTTATTCAATATTTTTTGGTCAAGACCTTAACCATGCATTGGAAAGTTGTCAATTTGGTCCAAAACTAGCAAAGAAATTGAAGAATGTTTTGGTGAAAAAAATAATGGTGTTCATTGTGTCTTTTGTTTTGATTTTGTCAAGATGACGTTAAAAAAGAATGAGCAAAACATATTAAAGTCCCAGTTACATTTCAAATACATTATAATCAATGATCAACATAGACCAAGATCAGCGGACATAATTAAAACAGATGAATGTCAGAGCTGGAATTATTTAATTATTACTTTCCTGCATCTCAAAAATACCCCCCAAAATTCTGTTTTCATAAACACTGTAGACAATCACACAAAATGTCATAAAAACGAAAAATAAAAAAACAGCCAAATTCAAGAAGCACCACCACACCATATTTTGTGAAAATCCCAGGAACAGATCCTTTTTTTCCGGTATAATCTACTTTCACTTGTACAACTGTATGTATATTAATGACCCTTCAGGGTCACTGACCTTCAAAAACAGGCAATGGTGCATGACCAGTGTTGAACTATCAAATATCCACAAAGAACGAACTAAGTTGGAATAAAATAACCGAAAAATATATCATGTACTATGCACAAGCTTAAATTCTCGATAAAACAAACTTTTAAAAAATATAATAAAAGTAAGATTGTTAAAAAAAGTCCAGGTTGTCAGTTTTTGTCGTTCTGACAAGTAACTGCCATTGTCCAATGTCGGTGAACTTAGTGTTATATATTATATAGCACAACGTTGTTTAATATTTCCTCAACACAGCTAATAAATAGTTTAGTCTAATATATTTGAGCAATAAGAAGATGAGCTTATACGCAGATATTTTAAAAAGACTTTAAATGTGCAAAATCACCGCCAGACAGCACGGGCGATGACAGGAAAGCGACACAATTCAACATACAAGTGTGCAACTCAACATGAAAGTCGTGCATTCTCGTTAATTAGACTTGCTAATTAGCTGTTTCTACGCACCTTGCGAGTCGCCACCGCTCGTAAAGACAGCAATACAGCGTCCAGAACCGGGAGCTCCTTCCAAAATAGGGCCCATGTCGCTCGAAAAACGGTACACCGTATCACAGACATCGTTAGGCAGATTGTCCTGCGATTCTCGCCGGTTACCCATGGAATCTCGGCGACTTTGTTTCGTGTCTTGTGCCATCTGTTCTGAGCTGTGTTCTCTCTTTAGTCCACCGGTACTCATCAATTCCCCGATAAGCTTTACACAAAGGATATAAAATACCTAAAATAATTTATGCAGCAACAGGATCGTACTTAATCGATTTTTCGCGACTCGATACGCTGCCCCAGTGAGTTCAAAGGTTTGGGAATTTGCTATCCTCGTTCCAAGCAATATTTTACCAGGCTCGACGAAATACGTGTAAATTTAGGTTTGTCAATTAAATATGCTTAGATATTATATTAATATATAGAATAGCATACAAACAAATGTGTAATTATGGATTGAATGAAAAGAAGATATATTATTAAAAACAACTTTGAGACGAGTTGGAACCTACTTCGTGTGCACGCTTGAACGATTGAGTCTAACAGCGCCACCAAGAGGTACATCGAACGACACTTTCGTTTTTCAAAACACATAAAAAATAAATGTCTCTGGCAACAATTGTTTAATAATAATACAGACAAGAGAACTGGTGATGGTTGCAGAACCATAACTGTCACAGCTCAAAGATTGTTATGTAATACAAGGGAATGTGAAGGGAAATGTATTGTAATGTTACCTCTGTGTAGTTTACAATATATCTGCATTAACCTTCACTGTGAAGGACAATATGGGAGTTTACTTAAATGACTGGTAAAAGCAAAGCTGGTCAAATTTTGCGAAATAGTAGTTAGAATTTCCAGATACGCAATCGACACATTGTCAAAATATGGATGATAAACAGCAAGTGATATTTCCAGAGAAATTGAAGCAAAGGAGTGGCCTATTAATCCATGAATCATACTCACACATATCCGTACATATCATCATGTCTTATTGTGTGTGGGCAAAGCTGTCATGCACACAATCGGAAAAATATGTTATTACTGTAAATAATTATGAACAATAAAAACTAAAATTTAGAAAAACTATGAACAATTAATAATGACAAGCAGCCGGTCGGCTGAGATAGCTCCGCTGTTAGCAGTGCACATTTCAATGAAAGAACAGAAGATATCATTAGAAAATGAACAATATGTATAGTATCAAAGCAATGGAACTTTCAACAAGAATTCACAAATATCACTTTTCACCAAAAATGACAAAAATAATCATCAAATTAGATAATTGAAGATATCACCACGAAATTAACAAATCTGAAAGAGGTCCACATGTAGTAGCTATATATGTAATATCAAAGCAATTCGACTTGTGGTTTTAACAAGAAGTTGAAATTATCACTTTTTACCAAAAGGGACAAAAATATTCACCAAAATTAGAGAATTAAAGATATCATTACAAAATGAACAAATCTAAGAGTGATCCACATGTAGTACCTATATATGTAATATTGAAGCAATTGGACTTACGGTTTTTAACAAGAAGTCGAAAATATCACTTTTTACCAAAAAGGACAACATATTCACCAAAATTAGAGAATTGAAGATATCATCATGAAATGGACAAATCTGAGGTACATATACACCAAGTATCAAAGCATTCAGGCTTGTAGTTTCCTAGAAGAAGTCGAAAAAGTAAAACATTGACACGGACGACGGACGACGACGGACAATCACTCATATGATAAGCTCCGCTCGACAAAGTCGACATCGGAGCTAAAAATATGTGATTTGCTGTACAGTTTCCAGAAAATTATTACAAGTCCCAGAAGTACAAATGAGTCGTCAAAACGTACAGTTTGGTGACAGTTGGGAATGATACCAAGATTTAACAATTCCATGAGAACATCGCAATTTTAACACATGAAAACGGATGTGCATTGGTCGATTTTTGTATAGTTTCAATAGGCATACAAGCACCTGTTATATTTTGACAATAAACCCCTCATTCACATTGTGCAAATACAAACAAGACATTAAATCTTCTTGATAGTAACAAGTAAGTGTTGTATAAACCCGAATGAAAAGTCCGAAGTCATTACTCTGCCAATGACATTGAACTTTGCTCTTCCATAAAGCAGCAGTTTTCATCTTCAAATAATCAAAATAACCTTGATACCCTGACAAGCATGTCTATTGTTTCACAACGACTGTCCAAGGGATTTTCATCTTCTCAATTTCTCAAGAAAAACGTCCCAAGGTTGTTTTGTTTACTAGAAGGACATAACCTTTGGCAGCATTTCTTGTACTAATTTTCATTGCACAAACAAGTAGCAAATATTGTTACTGAAGCACAGAATTTGCATGAATTTTTCTCCCCGACCATTCATGCAAACTACAAACGAAGTCTTTTACCTCATCCATAGTTGTTGACACTTTGCAACCGCCTTGATGGACGTATTGTGACGTATTTTGACCCCGGACCTTGCATTCTGGCTACATTTACTGTCCTTCCATACCAGTTCAATTTCCTTTCATTATTACATCCAGATTTCATGATATATAATATTTAAAATCAACCTTTTTTCACAGTCACTTTAGTTTTCACTTTTCTAAAATTAGTTTACTGATCAACAGACTTTTCACTCCCATCATGCAATCTCCCATAGTACTTCCGCAGACACAGCGGCGATCGCCAACATATCTACAAATAGCCTCGCTCCCAGGAGCTGAGGAATAATATATGCGAATGATTTAGATAATAGCAAAAACGGTGATTCATAATTAGCACAACACATTATTTTATTGGTGTCAGTAAATGCATAAATGTTTTAAATTATTTTTCACACTACAATTTTTTTTCTCTGTGCCATTTCTTCATATTTTTCTTTGTTTAAGGCATGTCACTATGTTTTATTTTGTCGATGGTATTCATATTTTACTTTGTCCATGGCATTTCATATTTTACTTTTTCGATGGCATTTCATCATGTTTTACTTTGTCCATGGCATTTCATATTTTACTTTTTCGATGGCATTTCATCATGTTTTACTGTGTCTATGGCATTTCATATTTTACTTTTTCGATGGCATTTCATCATGTTTTACATGTTCGATGGCATTTCTTCATCTTTTACTTTGTCTATGACATTTCATCATGTTTTACTGTGTCTACGGCATTTCATATTTTCCTTTTTCGATGGCATTTCATCATGTTTTACTGTGTCTATGGCATTTCATATTTTACTTTTTCGATGGCATTTCATCATGTTTTACATGTTCGATGGCATTTCTTCATCTTTTACTTTGTCTATGACATTTCATCATGTTTTACTGTGTCTACGGCATTTCATATTTTCCTTTTTCGATGGCATTTCATCATGTTTTACTTTGTCGATGGCATTTCACCATGTTTTACTTTGTGGCTTTTCATCCCCGCCCATGGGCCCATGATACCTACATACAAGATATCAAAGCAATTGAGCTAGCAGTTTTTAAGGAGAAGTCAAAAATAACATTTATTTTTACCTAAGATGACAAATACCGTCATGAAATAAACAAATCTGACAGAGGTCCATACAGGGTGGATACCATATACCTTGTATCAAAGTAACCGGCATGGTGGTTTTTAAGAAGAAGTTTTATGAGTGGTCAACAGCTCTACAACTTCCAGACAAACTGCGCAGTTATGCACAATTTAAATCCTTACTTGGGCCGGAACTGCACGTGTGTCGTGTTAATAAGCTGAAATTATTCAAATTTGCACTGGCTCGATTATCTACCAAACTAGCAGTGGAGAAGGGTTCCATTTTAACCAAGTAATTCCGCTCCACTTAATACAGTGTGTATACTGTTATAAAACAGGTTGCCATATCATAGAAAGTGAATGTAAATTCTAACTATTATGTACACTGTGAACTGTATAGAATAGAAAAGATTACACGACGGTTCAAAACCTACCCAACTAAAGAAAAAAAACTGTGTTAATACACTATAATTTGTAAACATACATTTTCGAATCTGACAAATGTCTTGATTATTTTCGTCAATCATTCAAAACTTACTTATTTTTGGGGGATGCCATGATCCCAACCATTTGTAATAACGCCGCGCATCTGCGACATTTGTGTTGATAAACATTGATTTTCTCACAATTCAATGCGCCTTTTTTAATGAAATCATGAGTTTTGAACTGGACGCCACTTGCACTAATTACCACCGGTATTCCCTTGGACACTTTCTAATCACAAAAACAAAAATACTCAATTACAACCCGGTAATCTCTTTGTTTGTAGTCGTTGGTCTGCGCAACAGTCAAAGTCGCCATCTTTGTTAATATTAGTCCCATATCTCGCGCATGCGTGGCGCGACGTCCGCCGTCCTTTAAATAAATAAAAAATAACCCCTGTTATTAACAGTACATATAGATAGATCTTTAATTCGTACCGTAACGCCAATTCAATGGGAACAAAGTGAATGAAAATCATTATGTTTTTAGATTGGTGTGTTATTGCTTAACAGTCCCCATCCATCCAAATCAAATTTACCAATTAAAACTTACAACATAAAAATGTTACAATCCAAACACTGATGTTGTGGTTTGAATGATTTTGTTTAAAATTTACAACACTAATCGTAAAAACGTAATTATTTGTGTTATATAAGTTATATCAAAAGAATTTCCGAGCAAAACAGAAAACATTTTAAAATATTAAGTACTAAAAAAAACATGTCTATTATTATACAGAGTTCGCCTTGTTTATTACATATAGTTATATGATACATTTATATTGTATAACATTGCTGCCGTTAGCGGCGTACTCTTAACGTCCAGTCAAAGCTTTATACCCTAAGCCATTTACACATCAACGTATTTTTACAATCCCAGCCGTTTATGCCTTCCATTGTATTTAACTGATGAATAACATGTAGTCTGAATATACATGTTCAGTATTGTAAAATATTTTTTACATATTTTTATATACATATTTCAATATGTATTATATTTTTGCCAATATTATAATAAACGAACGAATGAATTATTTGTCGATTGATTGTTCGAATGAATAAATGAGTGGACCAGGCGTGATTCATATTTTATATTTGAACTTTACGTAAACGTGATTATTGCGTGAAAAACAAAAATACGCGAGATTTGACAGTATGAAATCTCTGCATATTTTGAATCAGTTTGTCTCATATGCAGAGAATCATTGAATCGGAAATAGTTGAAGATTAGTTCTTCTTTAAATTCATTTGATACATATGTATCCCCACTTTTTGAGAACAACTTTTTCTGGGTATGAT